TGGGTCATGGGTACATCAGGTGGGTCATGGGTACATCAGGTGGGTCATGGGTACATCAGGTGGGTCATGGGTACATCAGGTGGGTCATGGGTACATCAGGTGGGTCATGGGTACATCGGGTGGGTCATGGGTACATCATCAGGGGGTCATGGGGTACGGGAGAAGTTCGTTACAATAAGACATGGCGATAGATACAGTTGACGTTCATTAGATCATGACACGGGTTGAGGTACACTCAAGTTATACCCCCTGCAAGTGAAGGTTTCAGTGCTTCGATTTAAGCGCACGCTTCGACAGCGATGAATGGAAGATTTTGGCGCTACGCACTTGTTACACTGACGCCACATACGCCATGGGACTGCAGGAGGTTGAACGCACTCGTGGCAGAATGTCTTAAAAGGATTTAAGAACATATGTGATAGATAGCAAAAAAAATGTATCTCAGTACGGTACTCACTGCAGTGAGTGACAGAGAGCGCATTTTCTCGTCGACGAAAACGTGGTCACGAACGGACGGACAGACGGACAGACAGACATGGCGAGCACAATAGAGCATTTTTTCCATAAATGAGAAAATGCGCAAAAATGGAAAAAAAGAGGTGGGAGAAGTAATAGGCGTAACTGGTGGCACGCACCTTGACGGGGAAGGCGCAGGTGGCAGCACGCACGGCGGCCTCGTCATGCTGCCACAGCTGGGGCTTGCTGCCGTCGGAGGCGCTGCTGCTCTTCTTCTTGCGGAAGCTGTCGCGGAAACTCCGCCGCAGTTTGTCCATCCCGTTACTGCTGCTCGTGCTGCTCGGACCCTCCACCTGCACAGGGAGCATGCGTTATACTCTAGACCAGTGGTTCACGAAGTGGGCGGTATCGCCCCCTTGAGGGCGGTGGGGGAGGACGGTATCACCCCCTTGGGGGCGGTGGGGGAGGGCGGTATCGCCCCCTTGTGGGCGGTGGGGGGGCAGTATCACCCCCTTGGAGGCGGTGGGGGGGCAGCATAACTCCCTTGGGGGCAGTGGGGGGAGGGGCGGCAGTCCGAAGTCGAAGTCAGAAGTTCGATCGTTTGTTTGACGATTTGTACACAACACGTGCAGCACGCGGCTGGCAGCGATGAGTTTTTTACCAAGATCTGAGTTTTTTTTAACCTCTCCTCGATTTCTAATGTAAATTTTTGAAAATATTCAAAATCTAGGGGGCGCTATGTGTGTGAGGGAGGGGGGCACTAGAAATTCACTGGGGGGCCAAGGGGGCGCTGCCTGTAAAAGTTTGGAACCACTGGGATAGAGCACTCGCAATACTAACTTGCAAATGACGAAGCTTTGAAAATGCTGACGGAGAACGGCAGAGGCCTTAAAAATGTCAATATTAACGTATTACGTGTTGCTATCATGCACTCTAAACAATAAAAGTACATATATATAGGTACTTAACGGACTCCCTACAGTAAGAGGTGAAATGATAACAGTGAGACACAGATCAAAACTAATTCCGAGAAAATCATACTAAACAACATGCAGTGAAGTCAAAAATATAAAATTTGAAGCCAGATAAAACTATTTCGAACTGTTTCAAAGTATTTCAATCGAGCAACTTCGTATCAAAATCCTCGATTATTCAACAGGCTTCGTGACGCCCTTGATATTAACGGCAAACCCATAACTATATGCAGCAATTAACGGCACCAGCAAACGAGCAGTTCTCCAACAATTTGATTTAATCTATAAATTTTGCTTCAAAGAATGTTGTAGACTTCTTCATTATTTGGACTACTTTGGAGTAACTATCAAGATATTGAGCAGCCGTTTATCCTGCCACCTGAGACAAGATCGCAACCAGACCGGGGGCCATACTTTTAAAACTCGATAAGTTGACGTAAGTACTTACGCTCCATTTTCTTGTCTATGATTGGTGGATTTTGCTTGATAGGCCGTCAATGATTGGCAGATGACCTTAAGATCTCTTAACTTTTTTGAAAGTATAGGCCCAGGTCTCAAATATTACAATCGAGCAACTTCATCTCAAAATCCGCGAAGAATTCAACAGGCAACGTGGCACATGCAGGCTCCTTGTCAAAATGATCAAGTATCAAACTTTAAGACCTGATAAGTCAATCTTTTCTCTTTCAGAGAAGCTGATATTATAAATTTTTGCTAATTTGTGTAGTAGTAACTTTATGTATAAAACATAAATGCTTGCCAAACCTTTATTTCAGTAATTGTAGTGGTTCCAAACTCAGCACGAAAGCAGTTGTGGAGATTGCCAAGCTTAAGTGAATGTAGCATGTCACTTGCCATTTTTGCCAACTCTAACTTAGTAATTATTTAACAGTGTTGTTGTAAGATATGCAGCAACTACAGAATATACCAAGACAGCTAGTAGCTTTCAAACCAAATCAGTTGTTCATTGGGATGGCAATCTTCTACCGATCTGTCAGGAAGTGATGTAGTTGATAGGTTATCAGTAGTGCTATTCTCTTCTACTGATGGCATTAGGAAGCTACTATAAGTAGCAGAGATTGATTTTGTTACAGGTAATACAAAAGTACAAGATGTTCATGAGCAGCTACAGTCATGGTAATGTGGACCTATTATGGTATAGGTACGGTATCTGTTCGACACATCTGTTGTACCAATCAAGTTCAGAGGCGCTAGTCCCCTGGTGGATAAAAAAAGTACAGGTATGGGGACAAAAGCTGAAGTCTGCATTCATTGCCATGCAGACATTACATGATAGAAGTTCTGCTGTCTGATGCTTTAACAGCTTGCTATGGTTCATTCATGACATTTTCATATTAAACATTTTATTTAAAGAGTCGGCTAAAGCTAAATAATTAACAGCTATTTGACGGAAGTTTTCTACTATAGAAGAATATCAACGCAGTAGTTGGAGCTCCTGCAGTTGACGCCGCAGAACGTATCTAGTTCATGAAATACCTGAAGCTCAAATCACAATATCTTCAGATATTTACTTTTGAGACTGCTGATTATAAAAAGTTAGTAAATTTGATTGGCTTTCGTATGCTACAAACAACCACAAGTCTCACAACCTCAAACATGCAATGTTTTACACAATCTAGCTAGGCAGAGCTATTAAAATTCAATGCGTTATGGAATAAGTGCAATCGATGTAATGCAAAGCATCAATCTCATATGTGGTTGTGAACCGACGTTTCTCTTTAATATAAATTTTTTCTTAATTTTACCTAATAATTTATTCCACGGAAAATTATTACATTCCTTCAAACTCAGATTCATCTTAGGGATACAGTAATACTAACAAGAAAAAAAAAATTGAAAATAACTGTAAATATTGGCTATTTTTCTGTGAAATCAATCATTAAACTAGACGTAAAGTGATCTATCAAGTTGTTATGAATTATTATTTCCATACATAAAATGATGGTTATAATTAAACCCTGAGTGTGATGAGTATACACCCGGCTTTATAAATACTCGAACACGAATTTATAATATAATTTGGAAGTCTCTAAAAATGGCATGATTTCTTTCAAGAAATTATACAATAACTTAGTCATACTCCCAAGTTCGTCTGATGAGATCGAGAGACAAGATACAATTTCAGATAATACAATTTCGAAAAATAGTATAGGCACTGAACTAAATCTTAGCAAAAAGAAGAGGTCCATAACACGGAGAAAATTAGCGAGCGATGGTAAAGGAAATATTTGGTTACCCGCGAAAGAAATGTCGCTTCTTACGCGGCTGAGAGTTAGGTTTCATTCAACAGATATTCTGATGCACAAAACGTTTGGGATTGTACTTTTATTATATTAAAGATATCTTATATTAAAAACATCAGAAAGTAATTTCAAAAAGTCAAGAAAGAGAATATTTTTATCATATTTAATTTCTAATTTGATGTATTGAATGTGCTGTGGTTTATTTGGACAGCATGATATGAGTGAGTATTTTGCTTGTGCTTTATCATTCCCAAAAATAGGGGCAGCAACCCCAACTTTGGCGTAGAGTTGATGGAGGAAAAAGTTGAGTGCTCCAACGTGGGCGCAGCAGTAAAAGGACATGGACTGAGAAAAGGACTCAGATCGGGTCACAAGGATGCTGAGGGTACAGACAAAGGAATCGTGTTGTTGTTGCAGAAATGGTTCCCTTGTTATTGCAAAGTGTAGAGGGTACAGACAAGGTTACCTTGTTGCTGCAGAGTGAAGAGGGTGCAGACATTGTGCTGGTCAGCTTATTGCGCTCAACGCTGATAGGATTTGGCGTAGCAAACAAACTGCGAGCCGTGAAGGGACCGTGCGCAGCAGCGTAAGTACGCTCAGGACTGTGCTCGTGGTTGCCTGCTGCGCTAGCGCTGTGCTTGTGATGCGTCGTCGCTGTGCGGATGCTGTGCGCGTCGAGGGCTGTTGTGCAGGCACTGGCACTGACAACTCGCTGTTTAGGAGCCGCGGCACTGTGGGGCTGCTGAGGGATGGCACTGGCACTAGAGCGCTGCTGCTGGGGAGCAAGAGAAGTGATGTTGCAGCTCGGGGCGCAGCCGCTGCCACCCGACCCCGCGTTTCCCCCATTAATGAAGTGCACCGCGCGCTTGCCCAAGGGACCTTCTTCAGGAGAACTTTCTCCCTCGCTGCTCGGGGGTGTCAGCATTGCCCCCTGCGCCATGCGTATGCCATGTACTATCACGGAGCTCTCCCGCTGAACCGAACACCTTCTACAGATCATCATGAGACGTCACCAACCAGTCCTGGGGGCAGCGGCAGCACTGTGGTGAATTAAGTGCTGTGTGTCGGTGTGGAGGAACGACAGTTGTGTACCACTCGATCTACACTCTCGGGCCTCTGAGCTAAACTGAGACGTCTGGCACAATGTTGCAGGGGAACCGCGTGTTCTCGTCACCTTAGATGTTTAAGGCCTTGAATATAAAACCATGAAATTTTCTACTTGTTTTCTAAAACATTAGATACATCTGCAAAAAATACGAATGGCTCTAACGAACCCTTCTTTCCGGCTTGTTCAAGTAACTCCTCACGACTGTAATCCGAGTGGTGATTCTTTTCGAATTAGCTATAAGCAATGTCTGATTAACGGCTCAATTTATTTCAGACAATTAAGCTGATGAGGCCGTTTAGTTCTCCGAAATTCAAGTCAGTGGAGCATGTAGATGGAAGGAGATACAGGGTTGCCAATTATTTTTGCGACACGAGTATAAGAGTTAGAAGCAAGTAGACAAATTGACGCAAGACACGATGGCACGCGACACTTTATACGAAGGAAGTAAAGACAATACACGTAGATACGAGGGAACGTAGGCACACAGCCAAGCAATGTTGGAGGATAGCAAGTAACTGCCACGGCTGCGGTGGCCGAAGATACGCCAGGATGTGAAGCTTATCTTTGTCGGGATTACCAGGCATGTGCGCGCTGCACTGTTGCTGCACACAGGAAAGCACGGGGATTTCTTCTGTAAAATACCTGCCGTGACAATAACATCTTAAACAATGAGCGCTAGCACGTGGCCAAGGTAAACTTGAGCCAATGCAAGAGCAGGGCTGAGAGTGGTGATAAAACCGCGGCTTGCGGCAGAGGTTACACTTCAAGCCCGGCCAAAGCGGACACAGAGCGGCTAATTTGCATGCTCTTCGCGTCCTAGATGGCAACGGTTGTTGTGTCGGCCCCGCTTTCAAATTTTGTTAGGTTGAGAGGCATACCGAGCACGCAGCGCTATACAAGGTTAGGTGCTTAGCAAATACAAAAAAAATCACGATAATAGGGAGCCAACATATGGTCAATAATTTCAGTGACCGAAAGGTCAGCCTCCGTTGACCAGGCTCATCACGACGCTTACACCCATGCGCTGACCAGCAAAATAGGCAAGTCCCAGTAAACTAGAACACATTCAATTGTATTATACCTAAACTCAGAGTTACTAATAGCTTTTAACATCATACCTATACAGAAATTAGGGTTACGACGGCCTACCAATATCATAGATCTTGTCCGAGAGAGAGTAACGAAGGCGTCAACAGACGTTCGCTGGGTTGACAGTTCCAGGTCTATCAGATGCCGAACCATTACGCGTCATGATTCTTATCCAAGATTAGATCTTGAAATTTTAGTACCTGCCACATCATGGTCGAATTCTTCAGACACTTCACGTCAGTTCGCGCAAAAATTTTCCAGATTATCGCACGCAGATTAAAACTGATGAATGAATAAAGATGTACAAATGACATATGTTTTACCAAGCTATATGGACGTTCTCGTAAATGCCTCCGCTTACTACATGCTATGTCATTAGAAAACTCAAAGAGAAGTGTGCTATACATTTGCTTCAATAACTAAATAAAACTAAACATTATGAAATTCAGGCTTTTATAAATTTCTTTTGATGGTATAGAAATATAACAATCCTAGGTCTGCAGTTTCTTTTTTCACTTCCCCTAACGCACCAAGAAGTTGACAGTGTATAGCATCAGCATAACCACCGGCATCTGGTTGTAACCGGCATCGGGTTGTAACCGGCATCAGGTTATAACCTGAACCGGCATCAGGTTATAACCGGCATCAGGTTATAACCGGCATCAGATTATAACCGGCATCAGGTTATAACCGGCATCAGGTTATAACCGGCAATCAGGTTATAACCGGCATCAGGTTATAACCGGCATCAGGTTATAACCGGCATCAGGTTGCAACGATTCACAACGAACCACGCGTCGGCACGAAACCAGCCAATGCAGCTGGTAGTGCAGAGAATGACGAAGCGATTGGTAATGTTAGAACCACCATGAACACTCATGGCTTGGATGCATAGAAGCACGTACAGGTCGCAGCCACGACCATGCACAAGCGTGCACTGTACAATTGTACAGTACGCTATGAAAACAACGTGATGGCGGCAGAGGAACAAGATACCGGAAGTGGGTGAGAATGCCGGAAGTAACGATGGACGAGGTGGGGAGAATATGATAAAAATATAAACTACTAAATAACTGATACGTGACGACCTGTTGTAAACAAGCGCCTTGGTTTCATAGACTGAGCCCTAAATTTTCCTTATCCTGGCTTGCGTTATCATAAGCTAAGCTTGGCACCTCGAGAGCGAACACTCATTAAAATGGATGAGTCACATTGTCCAAGTAGTGACACACTTCCTGTACGTAGCGATAGTCCTTATCACGGATTAAAACATGTCAGGATAACCCACACAAAAGCAGAAAAAGTGCATAAAATTTCATTCATTGCTCTAAATGAAGATTGCATTCGCCTGCAAGTCCTGCTGCGTTTTAATACTCTCGTAACACACGCTGCTCCGCAATGTTTATCATTATATTTTATCGGCACACACACCCGAAATAACCACAAAATAAGTCACGTTATATATACGTCAACCAATAATGCAACCCATACTCTTTAATTAAATGAATATGTCATATAAAAACGCAATTCCTTCCAACCAAACTTGTCTAGATGAAGGGCTCTACCATAAATATACTCTAGAATTGCATAGAAATCATGTCTTGAATGTAGCCTCAAAGATTAGGCAATCGATGGCTCAGTATCGCTTACCCGAGCCAATAAAAAGAAACGCGGGCATTGAAGATGCCGCAGTTAACACTGGTAGGTATAGTATAGGTGCCTTTACACGGGGACAGCAGAGGCATGCAGTTATTGCTCCTTTCAAATAGTAACTGCAACTAATTATCATGCTACTAGCCTCGTGTAAAGAGTTACTCATGCTACTAGCCTCGTGCAAAGAGTTGCTCATGCTACTAGCCTCGTGTAAAGAGTTACTCATGCTACTAGCCTCGTGTAAAGAAAGGGTCCTTCCGGAGCCAGTAGCGTTACAACACGAGACCAATAGCACGGTAAATAGTGACGGCAATCATTTGCATGTTGCACTGACCGCCACTACCTACCACTGTCCCCGGTGGAAGCCTAATAAGGGTTTGCATATAAGCTCATCTTCCGGGCGCCTTTGTTGCAGCGACTTCGTTTGTGACTCTAACCATACATGATGTAAACCCTCTGTATTATTTACTTAGATGCAAATAGCGCATAAAACCGTAATTTATACCCGAAGACTGAAGGTTTGGATACAAGGAATTGTTTGAGGGAATCAGGCTAAATACTTTTTACCCTTTAAAATGCGACTAAACAGCTCGAGGATAGAATATTCAGGTAGTTGGTGTGGGCGGCAAACCGGCTTGCGGCACCAGTTTCCACACAACATCTCCGTGAATAAGCCTTGCGAGATGTGAAGTGGTTCACTCTTCTCTGAGGTAAACACCTTTAATCAGCAGGCATATACAGCTGAGTGTGGTGCATATTGAAGAAATTTTTAATGATGACTGCGCCCCCAAATACGAAAATGAGCCTTATTTACAAAATCAAAGACCTATTAAAGTTCCGAAAACCGCATTTTTACCTCACGTACAGGCTCAAATACCAGGACGGGTCTGAACTGACTTCCGAAAATTATTTCAAGCTGTTCTCACAATGAAAGTGACTGTTGTTTAATGCTTATATAACAGCACTAAGCTGCCACGTAAGTAGACAACCGTCGCTGCAAACATTATACGGTGAAATGCCGAGCGTCGTGCATTTGTTTTACGAGTTACGTTTTGTCTTGAACAAAATGTCTCTTAATTATTTTAAGGCGTCATATGAACCGTCCGTCACACTGCTAAACACATAATATAAATATCTCAATGGATGCCTCTCCCTTCCCGTTGATAACAATACCTGCTAAGCTGATAACAATACCTGCCCTGCTGATAACAATACGGGCCCAGCTGATATCAATACCTACCCTGTTGATAACAACACCTGCCCTGCTGATAACAATACCTGCCCTGCAGATAACAACACCTGCCCTGCTGATAACAATACCTGCCCTGCTGATAACAATACCTGCCCTGCTGATAACAATGCCTGCCCTGCTGATAACAATACCTGTCCTGCTGATAACAATACCTGTGCTGCTGATAACAACATCTGCCTTGCTGATAACAATACCTGCCCTGCTGATAACAACACCTGCCCTGCTGATAACAACACCTGCCCTGCTGATAACAATACCTGCCCTGCTGATAACAACACCTGCCCTTCTGATAACAACACCTGCCCTGCTGATAACAACACCTGCCCTGCTGATAACAATACCTGCCCGTTCTCCTTGTTGGCACGGCGTTTCTCACGCCTCTTCCTGAGGCTGCGCCTGACAGAGGTGCGCGGGTTCATGGCCTTGGTGACGAAGCTGGTCTTGGTGTGCACGTCGCGGGGGGGGTTCAGGAGGCTGAAGTCGGGGGCTCCCACGGGGGGAGATGACGTGGGGGGCAGGGCACCGCTCAGGGGCTCCTGGTGGGACGACTGTGCCCCCATCCTCAAGGGTTATGTCTGACGAAGGGTCGAGTGA